CCCCCCCCCCCCCCCCCCCCCCCCCCCCCCCCAGCTTCCCCTCCCAGGTAAACAAGCAGAAGGAGTTTATCCCAGTTTCTTAAAAGCATTGGGCTTTGTTTTATCTCCCCTCCGCTGGCAGAGTGTGGTGGGTGTGCTAACCAGGTTACAGCTATTCTGTGGTTATTGTTATTCGATCCCAGTGCTGTTGGACCCAGCCGTATGATGAAATTCAACCCGCTTCGCAGCTAACCTCCACTGAGAATAGCGGCTTCATTTAACTTGACATCATTTTCGGCGTGGAAGTCTCTCTGAGCAGGAAGGTCAGTGTTGACTTGCTAGTGTAGTCTTGCTAAAGGTCCCACAGGGATCGCATGGATTCAGTCTCTCCGCGCTTGGGCTTAGGAGAGAGAAGCTTGCCGGGGTAAAGGTTCGGGATTTGGGTAGATTGAGCCCTCAGCTTCTGAACTCCCTGGTGGACATTGGTGATTTCTGGGTCGTTTTTTAATTACGTTTATTAAGGTAACTAAAAGTGGGTAGTTGTGACTCTGTGAGACCTTCTCTACGGTCTCATAATTATGGTCCAAGTCACCTTCCTTTGCACCTTAAGAAGGGCCTACATCTGATCTGATTGAAGTGTGTCAGCCTTTGTCCACAACTGTTCTTATTCCCCAAGGCAGTGCTTCTCATTTTGATGTTTTGTTGGAGTATAAAGATTGTTGAAGCACAACTTCTGTAAACAAGCTTTCTTAGCAGTACTGTTATTTCAATGCACTTCTTTGTGTTTCATCTCAGAACTGAATTCAGCATCACACGATGCAATAGATCTGTTGTTACATTTACATCGTAAAGGACAAACTACTTCCTGTTCTTGTCTGTAAATAGAAAACATGTACATATACCCTGCAAATGGCTTCACGGTTCTCCACTCTGCTTTGTTCATCGCATGTGAAAAGATTGAGTCCTTTGTCAAAAGTAAAAATTAGGCCTCTCAGCGTCCATTTTAGCTTTGACACTCTGCTGTATAGAACTTTGACTGTTATTCGTCTACAGCTGTTGAGTCTCCATTCATTGTAGGGGCAAGAAAAATGTATAGGACAACTTTTCCTCATGGTTTTTGCTATTTAAAGGAATACTATGCAAAATAAATTCAGAAGAGCTTGACAGTTGAAAATGATGCTTAAAGCTGTTGCCTGTATCACTAGAAAATGTTGGTGGTGCATATTTTCCTAGCGATTTCTTGCAGTATTTGAGGATATGAATTTGGAGGGCAGGGACTCGGTGCTGAAACGCACCCACCAATCCCACAAGGCAAAATTTTATAATATTGCCTGTCTATAAGTGTTTGAGTTGGGTATTTTCCTAGGACCTCATGAGTTTTTGGGTATGTTTATGTCCACTGACTAATTTTTGGGGGAACGAGAGGGTGGTTTCTTGCGTAGTAGCTTAAATTTGCTGAGTTGTGGTGGAAAGAACAGAGAGACAGCAGCGTATGGGTGTTGGCCTTTTTAACTATCAGGATGCCATATATAATTCAGCTGAATAGTCGTGCTATTTGGTTTGTACTTCCCTGTTAAGTGCCACAGACATATTTGGCTGGAGTGTAGCACTGGCAAGCACACATGTAAAAGTA